CACCATTCTACAACACAGTTCATATAGCCGCACCAACCATCAGTCCACCACTACTCGAGATCATGCTCGCAAACCATGCAAGCAGACATATCATTGACAACATCGTGACTTCTCCACCACTGGCAGACCGTGCAATCCGTGATGGTATTCTCGAGTCCCCGTTGAGGCCCTTGGAGGCCGCTGGGTCTCTCAAAGACTAGTTCTCAGAGGTCAGGTCATTGCGGGTCTTCGAAGGCCGACGTCAGTTTGCAGTCCTCAGATATTGGCGTGAGACCCTATGAAGCCAGAAGAAAAATCAATAAGGTAAAAGGTTTACATAGCCTTGGGTAAAACTTGGGTAAAACATTTATATTCGAGTCCTTTTATTTATCATTGCTTGCATTTATAATTTAAATCACTCATTTCTAGCAAACTTTACAATCCAGCCTTACTGCCTTACCCTTCAAAAGTCAATAAAAACGCGTTAAAAGGTAAACAGAAGCCACCTCTGCATGGCCGAAGCCCTAATGGCCCGTTGCGATTAAGGAATTGAGCCCCTCGAGCCTGCCAAAAAATGCCACCTTCCGCCGCTGCTGACTACTGACATGTCATCAGCTGCCCAGCGCTGGCGTCGTCGGTGGGCTGCCACAAATGACGCTGTCCGTCAGGCGTCAGGCGACTCGAGTCGTTTTTATAAGGTGGTAAAAAGCAGGGCGCTGTGTCTTGATGACCACAAAGGGCAACGTGTTGATCTGAACTAAAACGAGATTTTTTGCTGATCTCAAATTAGCGCGATGTTGATCGTTCATTAAATGTCTGTCCACACCAGGCATTTAAAGGGACCCTCCCACCTTAACATTAGTTTTGAGTTGAGATAGCCAAGTTAGCGGCCAGGCTCAGAAACCACCATTTATCCTGGTCGCAACCCCCGCAGCTTTATGGTGTTCAAGAAATTTCTTCCCTTTACTTGCAGGGTGGGACCAGCGTGGTCCCTATCTCTTAACCATTACGGGAATCTGATGACGTCATCAGGCTTTCGAACGTCCGTTAAATGTTTGACTAAAACGTTTTGTAGCACGCGGTGGTATATGCTGCTTTGCGCGCAACAAATGGCGCACTTTCAAATAAAGTCGCTAGGAACAGCGGAGATCCCAAAAAGTAAACAAAAGTAAAAGTCTAATATCTTGAAAACCGGTGAATATTTTTCGATGAAATTTGGTAGATATTCGTTTTTGCTCTTTCTGAACCGAGCGACATCACTTTCATGCCAATTCATTAACTTTTTTAAGGTGGGAGGGTCCCTTTAATCATATTGTAAGAAGAGGCGAGTTTTCTATGTAGGTAGGTATGCAACTGCGAGACTTATTGCTGACTGCTCTCTTTTCCGATCGTCTGCCCTCGTCGGTGGGCATGAACCATCTCGGACCGACGGACATTACCTTAAAATAACATTGGAGTGTCACTGTGAGCTACACCAGCATTGCGTACTAGCATCAATGGTCAACATGCGGCAACAAAAAATCGATGGAAGTGAACCATACAGGTACCTATTGGCATCGGCATTGCGGCAGACCGCAGTTATGGCAGCTGCTCGATAAGTGTCGCCCGCGATGGCCTCGGCAAAAGATGGCTGCACGAGCCCGTGTGGCATACTATCTCACTGGAACGGTGATGGTCAAATAGGAAGCTGTGAAGGTCGATTAGGGAGCATGTGAGCCACTGTCCATTATAGCTCGGTGTAGCAACTTCTCGCGTCTCTCGGTAGTTCAAATCAGCAGCCGAGGCGCAGCGCTTTATGCCAAGAGCCAGAAAACTGCATCTATTGCGGTGCGTTAACGTTCGATTTTTGGTAATTGGTGAATTGGATCGAAGGAAATAGTCGCGGTTTGTTACACAGCAGTGATCGCGGATCCCCTTTAGCGGGAATACAGACTTTTATGCACTCGTAAAAACTGATGAATCCCTGCTCTCGCAGCCGGGTTTGTCCTGTCCGGTGTCACGGGACAGTATGTTGTGAATGTTTGGGCGCCCTGTTCCGCAAACGGGACTGTCCTGTCCGGTGTCACGGGACAGCCCTATGTCGTGAATGTTTGGGCGCCCTGTTCCGCAAACGGGACTGTTCTGTCGAGTAGTAAAGTAATCTTGGTTCTGTCCGGCGTTACCGGAGAGTCTGGCGGTGTCAATCTCCGGGCGGCCGTTCCGGTCCCACTCGGCGTGCGAGTCCGGAGAGACTGCTCCCGGCCGTCACAGGTGCCGTATTTGTATGCGCATATCAGCTGGCCACGACGTGTCGTCAGGTGGCACGGTCACCTTCAGGTCACTGACCTGGTGACACGCTGACCGACGGACCGGGCCGTGCGCCCCTTCTGCAATGTCGTCCGACCGCACTGGGCCCCCTTCCGTATTGATGATGCGCTAGCACGGCTGGATGGGGCACGGGTAGAGCCAGCGAGGGTACCTAACCATCGATATTGACGGTCGGCTGCTTATTTATTATCACGCCATATCATAGCTATAATGCTCAAAATTTAATATTCACCTTTACAATTAATGGGGCGAGGGATCGGATGGACACTCGGCCGATCGCAACGAAACTCTAAGCACCCTCAAGTAAATCAGTTTAACAAATACCCCGAAAAATTCATGATCCTATTCCTGACCCACGCGACCTTTGACCTGTGACGTTTTCCTTGAGACTATACGAGGCCGGAATTTCAATGCAGCGTAAGCAAATGCCGGCACATTATTCGTGCATTTCCAGATTTCGTGGGATTAGAAACGTGCCAGCATGAAAAATGACATTTGTCTCATGCCTCATGGTGGGTGTCAAGATCACTTCAAGGTAAGATCAAGTTCATTGACCTTTGGTGACCTCTGGTGTTTTTTTTCGTGTTTTACTTTTATGGTAGCCAATTTCTTAGCTGATTTCGAAAGCGGTAGGTACTCAGTTGCACACTACAAGCAGTTTGGGTGCCCACGCAGCATGCTACAAAGCTGCTATTGGTGGTCACTGTTTTACATCTAACATGCTATGAATAGCTGGCGGGACGCCTACTGCAGTTGACCTGACCTGACCTGAGCCGACCCACCCCAAATCCAGGAAGGCATTAGGTATCTTTATTAAAAAATAATATGAAATCCGAAATCAGGGCCCCCAAAACACAATAACAGCATCGCTTTAAGAAGTTCTAGGTCACGATTTTCCCGACTGCTGGGTCATCGACCATGCCCGTAAGTTCAATCATAATTAATGACCCAGGACATTGAAATTGGGCATTATCGTCTCGGAGGGGTTGAACAGACTCTCCTTCAGTATGATAGCGGCTAGCAAAACACCAATACGAGAGAATGCTATACCTAACATCCATTTCCCACCCGGATAGGATGTGAGGCTCACACGAGAGCTTGACGTGTTTTCTTTTCGGCTACTGCATTTTATACAACCATCTATCAATTGACATTAGCGCCAATGCAGTAAAAACGATAGGCTCTTCAAAGCCAAACCATCCTAAAAACAGTTCAAACTATTAGCAGTGCAAATTGGATAGGTACAAAGCAGTTTGTCATACTGAATCAGACCTCACGATGTGACCCGAGCACAGGCGCTGTGTGGAGGTGCTATTGAGGTCACTACTATGAACGTCAAACCCCTTGAGGCCCCACTTTTTGGCGATAATTTTTAAATGCGTCAACTTTCGTTGACAATATTCTGGCAATGTATGTTTCAGAACCTGCCGAAACTTTTATTACTAAGGTATTTTGACGCCAAACGATTATGTAAGGTACTTCTCATTCACTCGTAATGCTAAGGTCAATTCAGGCCCGGGCAGAGGCTTGCGCTCGGCCACACTCGAGCCCCGCCACCAGCGCCATCTGCTCTAAATGCCATCTACCAGCGCCCGGTACCGCTACCAGCTACCACCCACCATCAAGCCTGAATGGAGCGAGAGACGCGAGTGACCGGTCGCCGGGCAAGGAGCGCCGGAGGGGTAGGGCGGAGCTTAGCGCTGACGTCATTGCGTGGCTCCACCCCATGAGCGCGTAGCCTCTACCCAAACAGCAGATTCGTTCCGTGAAATTTAACATTACGAGTGAATGAGAAGTACCTTTCATAATCGTTTGGCGTCAAAATACCTTAGTAATAAAAGTTTCGGCAGGTTCTAAAACACACATTGCCAGAATATTGTCAACGAGAGTTGACGCATTTAAAAATTATCGCAAAAAAGTGGGGTCTCAAGGGGTTTGACGTCCATAGTAGGTCAGGGGTCACCTACACCTAGCCGACACGGAAGGATGGGGTGGCGTCGACCGAGGACAGGGCGCCGTCGGCCGCTAACGGGACCCTCCTATCGGGCCAATCGGCCGGTCCTGGCTCGGCAGGACACCGCTCCGGCCGGACGAGAGGGGCGCAGCGCGGCCCGCATCACACGGAAAGGACAGACAGACTATTTAGAGGAGAATAGGTGTCATTACATTCCGAGAGCAAGCGTTACATTTTGAGACACATCCCTCAAGCTGAAGCGATTGGAACCGATGGCATTATCGTATGTCGTAAATCAAGTTACCACTCATCCTTTGATTACATTTAACGTGTCTTATCAACTATTGTTAATGGATGAGTATGGACTACGAAGCATGAGCCATCATACGGGAATATGCTACGGGAATTAGCACCATTTCACCAAAGCTAAGATCAACATTGTGATGCAACCAACACGGAACCTCTATAGATAGGTATACTTACACAAGCAGTTATACACCTCGCCGTGCCATTTGCCGTGCATGACAATATAGTCGGGTTGTGGCAGTGTCGCGCGGCCCGGCCAGCGCGGCCGCGGCTGGCTGGTCGCGGTGGCCCCACCCGCTCATGACCCGGTCAGCAGTGCTGTGTTGCCCCTCTGATTAGCACCAGCCGTCACGGCGGATGTGGGGTGGCCCGCCGCAGTCCCACAGTTTGCCCAGATACGTTCGACGCCAGCGAGCCGAGCAGGTGTAGCGCTCCCATCACACTCACTTCCGGCGTCAGGAATGCATACGGTGTATTCTGAGATGTCGACACACAGGGGGCGAGCAATGAACAGGGACAGGGGATGATAGCGATGAGTACCGCGGAGGCCGCGGACCCACCGGCGTCTCGGTCTGACGATAGAAGACGGCCCGCCGCGGCCGCCTCAGGCCGCTATCGTCTCCACCACCCCCTCGCTGTTGTAGCCGTCGAAGAGGAAAAAGTTGCTGAGCGGCTTGTCTTTCTGGCTGACGGCCTTGATGACCTCCTGGGCAAGGACGCCGCCGACCACGGCACACGCGGGGCTCAGCTCTCCCAGACACCGGCTGCCGAACAGAGGAGGCACAGCGCGTCAGTCACGTGATTAGTTACCATGGATACCGCCTGCAGAGGAGGACACGCTGACTCACAGGCTGCTCCTTCACGGCTCGCTCAGGGTGAGGACTGAGGCGGGTACTGTTGGGCGGACCGACCCGGAGCAGGCTCGCTCGCTGCTGCGGCGGTGGCCGTTCGTTAACATGCGGTCGTGTGGCCCGCCAGCCCTCCCTGATGATCGGCCCGTCTGCCCTCCTGACGGGCAGCCCAGTGGGCGGCCCGTGGCGCGTGACCGCTGCCAATTACTTATACAGGCCGGCCGCTACCCGGCTCCGGAGGCGGCCGGCGCCGCGGCCCCCTGCGGCCCGCCACAAATGGTTCGGACCTCCATCTGCCGCCTCCTGAGTGACGCACGCAGTCAAAACCGACTAACAATTAACGGCATAACAAACAACACAATCGTATCTGATCGTATCCACCTCCTCGACAGGTGACACTGGGCGTTTGGATGTCAGAATGTATGATATTCAGACATTTTTTAAGGCTGTAGCTAAGTCTTCGGTGCTGTCTGAGAATGAATGATTGTTCCCTTAACTACAATGTCTTTGGTTCTGTGGTCCATCTATAACATATCGTTGGTTAAGTTTTGTCCATCTATGAAAAACCAATGGTTTAGTTCTGTATATAATTCCAATCGCACCGGCTGTGTTTTGTATAATGTAGTGTAGTCAGTGACCGGGAGCAACCCGGCCGGTCGGCCCGCCGAGCGGACGTCACGTGACCTGCTGCCGCTCCACCGATCCCCGGCCCTTGCACTGTGCACGCCTCGCCTAGCAACACACCTCGATCTCTCTGAGATACTACCCACTTAGCATTCAATGAGAAAGAGTTTAAAGCATACGAGGCGGTGTGGTCAGTGCAATATCTGCATTTTGTTTACCCTCGCCAGAACGAAAAAATGGATTCTTACTTCCTACAGCCAGCCGACTGCGGGCTAGAGGGTAGGACTCGTTCACCGCTTCGACTCCAACGGAGCCCCAGATTCACAGATAAACGAGCCAATCAGTCGTTATAAGACACAAGGATTTCTCCCGATCCCAAGGTCTCAGGCCAGCCGCACAATCAAATGCTAAACTTGTTGAAAGCGCTCAGCATGGATGTTGACCTCAGGTCAATTTCAGGTCAAATCGAGTCAGGTTACGAACTTTGTCGAGGGATGGTAGGTAGCTTACTCAAAGCTCGTGTTTGTCTTTTCAGGCTCTAATATTTAACTAACTATGAATTGATTGACGCAAAACTCCGATGACCTGGTCCTCAAATGACCTGAGGCGGCATACATGACGCAAACAAAGCCAAAAAAAACATGCTCTGTACGATACAGACAGTGTATGTATGAAAGTGCGATGCAACGTAATTAGATCATTTGCGACGCCAAAAACAACAGCTTATTGAGTCATCATTTCAACAATAGTGGGAAAGCCTATAATATAGGTAATATAATCAAGAAAGGACCTGACCTCAGGCGAACCATGTGAACAAAAATCCGATGCACCAGCTACCAAGTACAGTGACTTGACTCAGAACACCTTAAAAAGCACGCCAAGTCCAAACGCCTAACTGTTCCAAACTGCTTGGCTGGACCACTTCTTTGCGGTCCATAAGCAGCAAAGCTCATGGGGCCGTTCACAGTAGGTATGCACTGCGAGTGTTATCATATCAGCTCGCTTCTATAACCCGCCACTGAGCAGACTCCCGGTCGCGGTGCCGGTGGCGACATCTCGCGGCGCTCGGCCGACCTCCGGCGAGGGTCCGACGAGGGACCGTTAGCGCCCTATCGGAGGCCGGGCGGCGGGCCGGCCTCCGTCGGTCCGTCGGTCCGCCGGTCCGGTCACCTCTCAGATGGACCTCCATTCAGCACAGGGCCTGGCCGGCCTCAATTCCAGACCAGACCAGCCACTGTCCACCGACGACCTAAAATCCCATTCAACCTCACGGCCGGGAGATTGAATCACGACAGAAACACCGGAACCAATCACGTCACGTTTAGCGAATCAGTCGGTGATACACCGGATACCGTTTATAATACAGCATTCAGACTCATAAGCTACAGTGGTACAAGCACTGCCATAGTGCTAAGTGCTAACAGTGCTAGAGTGTGCTCAATACGCAGTGCATTCGTATGGCATTTTCTTCAGTGCATTTCACGCTCTGTAACATTTTTAGATTAACTAAACTAAACAATAAGCAGCCTCCAATGACCCTCGGAAAAGCGTGCAATGTCTGGAACCAACTGATCTCCGTGTATCGACATATTTGGACTGTAACGGCTAGATAAAAAAAACTGAAATCAAAATGAAGAACATCCATTACGGCCTGCCACCAACCGCAACCATAACCTGTCAGGAGGCCCATAAATGTCGAGCGCCCGTCGCGCTTCGAACCCGGACTGTCATAACCGGGAACGCGTGCTCTCACCACGCGGAGTCCAACGCTCTAACCAACTGAGCTACGGGACCGGCTAACATCGCGAATGAATGGCGAATCTGTTGCGAATAGTCGGCGATACCTTGGCAACAAGTCGACGCACGCAGCGACATGTCGGCGGCGACTCGGCGACTGTTTGGCGATCATGTTCGTTTATTATAAATTCGGCGAACGGCCACGAAATTTTCATTTTTCATGAAATATTCGTGGCGGTCGTGACGAACCGTAAAAGTCGCGCGATGGACACCGACTGGTCTGCGAAATGCCAAGACCGTGGAAGAAAGATCCCGAATCGGTCCGCGACATAGGATGACTTGCATGTTCGTGCACATTCGTGTACCGAAATTCGGCAGTGTAACAAGGGCTTAACTCGAAAGTGGGCCCATATTAACGCAGTTGAGGTCGAAAGAAGACGTCAAACACCTTTCAACCATCCATCCTTGGGAGAAAGAAGGACCCTCGTCCCCCCCCCCCCAAAAAAAGATCATAGATTTGCACTTGCGGCTTATGGAACCGCAGTAAGCGTCAAAAAGCCAAAATGCTTGTCTAGCTAAAAATGCAGAGTTTTATTCAGGTCATGAGTAGGGTAGTCTAAAATGCGTCTTATAGCTTCTCAAATGGTCAGTACGACCGCCATGACCCACAATACGCACGCCTGCACCTGTCCCGGATCCCCAGCATTTAGTATTCCTGTCAGTCTCAGCTGAGGTGCCGCGTGTCGTATTTCTGTCGCGGAGTCAGACCGCGACACGGCTTTGGCGACAGCTCATACGCCAAGTTCGATGGACATCAAAAGCTGGACGTTGATGACGCGGCCCACGGGTGCCACATGTAGGCGTGTAGGCAGTGTGGTTCACGCAACGCCAACGCCAGAACGAGCGAAACCATTTGACAATTGAGATGTTTAACTCCAAGCGGAATAATATTGTAACAATTTCAATTTCACTAATACGCAGCACCTCTGTAATTGCTCACTGTATTTCAAATTCTGACCAGCACTACCAACCGGCAGCAGACCAACCATCGGTCTTGCAACTCGAGAATCGTTTTCCATGTTCTTTTAATGGGGTGTAACCATTCTGGATGATGTCTGTTATTTTGTTATTTTGATGCGGTGTGATCGCTCACCACAGTGGCACAGTTCACACGCGTCATACGAACATCTAAAGCAGGTGACCGCGGAATGGGCGATACGGCCGCGCCGGGCGGAAGGCGCCGGAACTAAAGAGGTGTTTGCCGGCCACAAGTGCCGCGTGAGCCGCGGCCGGCGCGCCGTGAGAGGCGACTCGGGTGGGCCCGATGGCAACTGGGCCGGCGCCGCCAGCGTGCACGTCCGACAGCTAACACAAAACAAACAGAGCCCGGCCGGCCACACACGCACGCGCGGCGCTTTTTACAGCGGTCATCCCGGCGGGAGATCATTGTGCCGCTGTCGGCCACTGCCGACCTGCAGACGGCAGACCCGCGGAGCCCATCCCATCGCGTGCTGCTGGCGCTAAAGAGATGTCACGGTTTGGATTATAACGCCAACATGCTACATCTGTATGTTTAAATACGTTCATCTGCAAATAGACGGTAACATCTCTCTTGATGACGATGGACGGAATAGCTGGACGAAATCATGCTGATTCGGCAAGAACTTGGCACTCAGTGAGCACCAGCTCTTTCAATGCGCTAGGCATAAAATTGTTATTGCAGTTTTTACAATACGCTAACAATAAAACTGTTTGTGCAAGGTAGTGTCGACAGTCGATTAATTTTTACGCCATGGAAGGCGGCGCCGCTGTCAGGTCCCAACACAGCGCTGTCACATTGACGCCCAAACAATGTTATCTCCCAGCATTGTGACTTGTGAGCTGCCGCCACTGTGCCCCCCCCCCCACCCCCTCCCACCGGCAATGAGCAATAAATTTTCAACCTATTCAATATTTGCACTTTGCAGCATTTATCCAACGATCCAACCAAAGCTTTAAAAAAATGAGCCCATTTGGAAATGACACGCATCACTATCATTGGCTTCTATACTACCTATACCTACACAGAGTTTAAGAAGTGCTGGTACAACCAGTCAGCAGCCTAAAACCAGTGCTGCCGGAGCCAGGACCGACCAGCTTGACCGCAACTTTGTCATTTGTCAAAGCGACTAATGGAGCACATTCATCCCTGGTACCGACAAATTGGTATTTCGTGAAAAAGAAAGGTTATCTGAGATCCACGAGTGATTTACATTGTAAATTAGCGACGTTTCCCATGTAAATTTACAAGAGTACAATACTGCATCACAATAGTTTTTCCAAGAAGATGATGTCTCCATTGCCTTATTTTATTGGACAGAGTGCTGTAAGCCAGAAGTTCTGTCAGGGTCACCAGTCCATTAAATCTCCGAATGGGACGGACCCGTAGCGCCGCGAACTATGTCAAATTCGTGTTTTCCTAATCAGTTGACCTTACGCTGAGCGATGGGCAGCGATCCGGAGGTTGAGTATCATGAAAGATGGACCCCATAAAATGACGTCACGTTGTATGTAAATAGGTATTACGATTATCATAATATAGCCTTTTCTACCAGCCAGCTAGGAAAGGGCTCAAAAGCATTAATCGTGGGAACAATATATCAACGAGACCTACGCAACACTCAATTAGCATAATCCCTCACGATTGCAACGCACAATGTTTGCCTTCCATTTAAATGGCATGAACAAGTTTAAAGGCTGTGCAGTGTGGGTGCATGACATTTCGCTCTTTTTTCGGTAATACATATTCCATTGTCAATCGTCATAACTACATACAAGTCAAACGATCGTCAGCATGCCAGACAAAACATTCGTTTATATAAAAAGATAATCCTGAAATGAGCTCCATTCTAGCTAGTTTATCACCAATGTTCAGGGTTTACCGTTGCTCTATTTTTAATCCTGGCTGAGGCCTATTTTGATGTTATCTGAAACCACAGGACGAGCCTTTTTTATCCCACTACATCCAGGTCACATCGGCACGCTAAAAAAAGCATCGGGCGGCTTCTCAGAGGGCATCAGAGGCGTCCAGTGGCCGAAACAGGCGGCCCAGCCGGTGTCCGGGTCAGGTCGAGTCGGGAGTTGTTACCTCACCCGCGCGGACAGGGCACCCGGGCGCCAGGTCACCGCCGCCGCGCCAGTCGGCCGGCAGGGGACGCGTCCCTCGCCGACAGGGCACAGACACCTGCGCACCCGCTCGTGGCCACGTGGCGACGGGTCACAGCGGAGGGCCATTCACCCCGACGGGCGGCCGGCCTGACGCGATCGCCCGTCACCTCCGCACACCACCCAACGAATGCGCATCCCATTACCACGCGGCGACACGGAACGATCGCACTGGCTACCTCGGCGACACACGCGAGTTCGATTGGACGCGGGACGGGCTGATCAAGTCGCTAGGACCTCAGGCTGATGGCGGACACTGTCCTTAGTTACCTGGTCGTCAGGACGCCGGACGGGAGTTGGCCTCAGGAGTCGACCCAGAGGCGTGACCTCAGCTATACCACATCAACACCTGCAGCAGCGGTAGCTGCGGTATCGAATCCGATCGACAGCTGACCTGATTCACTGAGCCGTCTGACAGGCCATACCTCGGTGGCGGATATGTGGCCTGGCTTCGGACAGGGTCAAAGGGTCCAAATACGTTGGCCGTACGGTCACACATTTACGCTGTATATACCTCATCATCCAGTCGAGGGGATTGAACTGCCCTGATTCTGTGCCACAAGCAATATTGTGCGGCGTGGTGTCCGCAGGACGACGTGCGCACGTGCGTTTCTGTTGACAGAACACTCGGCAGTTTCGTCGAGATGAGATGCATATCTGCCGGCCTGCATCACAAGAAACTGCCGTATCCCTTACGTAGCGGGGCGGGCCGCGGCGGTTGGCTGGGACAGCCACCCCGGGTATCGCTACTCACCTGGTAAACGCGTCTCCAACTTTGTCGGTCGGCAGGCCCTTCAGCGAGTCGCGCAGAGCTAGGAGCCGCGCGGCGTCCGTGTCAGCAGAGGTCGCCAGTGGTCTCCGTCCCTCCTCGGCGCGGAAAGCCTGCAACACTGGCGGACAACGTCGGGTCAGGTGGGGGTCGCCTTGGGTCAGGTGGGGGTCACGCCGGGTCAGCTGGGGGTCACACTGGGTCAGCTGGGGGTCACGTCGGGTCAGCTGAAGGGTCACACTGGGTCAGCTGGGGGTCACACTGTGTGAGCTCAGTGTCACGCCGAGTCAGCTGGGGGGGGGGGGGGGGGGGGTCACACACTGGGTCAGCGGGAGGGCGCCTGCCAGGCCTAAACGTCGGGTCGCTATGGTGAATTAGGCCTTGCCTTATGGTGCATTTTTACTACGACGGTTTAGCTATTATCAAGCGCAGTCATGCACAACGACTTTGTCAATTGTGCATCACATAGGGACGTGTAATGACATGGTGAAATAAGTGTTGGTAATGATCATGATAATGACCTGCGATTTTAGCCGGACTTCAGAGGTCATCGGCGGGCATTTATAAGTGTTGGTTGGTGGCAGCATGTACTCAGTTTTGTGAATGAGAATGCTTATGGGCTGTAATATGTTGTGCTGTACGTTTGAATAATAAGTAGGTATGTGTATTGCGTGTGCAAACTATAGGTCGGAAACACAAAACAGTATCAAAGGATGATATTGGTCAATGGTCATTAACTACTTTCAACAGAACAATTCAAAAACGTATCGCAATGATAATGGTCATCAAATTATTGCTAAACTGTTAGCTTCTACAGCACATCCAACATCCATCGATCGTCAATAAATCAAAGAAAAGGCAACGCCCAGTGCCCACAGATATTTACGAATAAAATAAGTGTTATGTAGGGCGAAAACAGCCTGGGGCTGGGACTTCCATTCCAGACAACATAGTAGGTCGAAGTGTGTTATAGCCGATACACGGGTTCGGGACAAGGCCTCTCGAAATGGCTTCCCTGAGCTACCACCACGGGGTGAGACAGTAGCGCCAATGAAACATCTGACAGGCGTGTTTAGAGTCCACTCTAACCCAACAGCCCGGATGGCAGATACCAGCCCGCGACCGTTGGTTGATCGTGCTGCCGTCACGCTTCTGACTCAATGCATTCAAATGCTATGTGTCGCGACGTGTGCACACCCGCTGTAAATATGCCATTGCGCCTTGATCCGCGAGCAGACTGGCACGGTTCAACTAGAACTGATCTGCAGAGTGCATAGCTGCATATACTCAATGACGACCTGTATGTGTCCGTGTTGTGAGCACGCTCATATGCATATCTAGCTACTTGAGAAGCGGACGTTGCTTCGGAATCAAATAGCATGTTTGACACAGAGTTCGTTCAGAATGTAAGTGCAAAGAAAATGTTTTTTAATGGCAAAAATGAACGAGTCAATATAAATAATCCGTCTGCTGTACCTTCACGAGTTGCCTACAACTTTGATCGCCAATTTTGTTTACAACGAACAATACTTATGAAAATTTGAGGTTAGCTGAGATTCTGGTTCCAGCCTGAAAATTCAGTCGAATGCAAACTGCGTATTCATACTCACCACGCATTATGAAGTAGACGTCCGACGTCCTCCTGAGCGTCTTGCGTCGGTCCTCCGCGTTCCAGTCGACGCCGAGGGCGTCCTCTAGCGGGGTGAACTGCAGTGTGCGCTTCACCGTACGGCTCTCGGGCTGCTCGGTGCGGGGTCGCTTCTGTGCCGGCTCGCCAGAGGGCCGGGCCAGCACGGGAACCTCTCTGGGAAGGGGGATAGGAAGTCAGCAGCGCAGCAGATGGGAACATGGGGTTAGCAGCGCACTGCAGACGGAACATGTAAGAAGCCTGGCAAACGGGAACACAGTGTCAGCTGTCCAGCGTTCAGTAGCTTGGAAAACGTCGTATCCACAAAGAGAAACGTCGCTTCCATATCCACCGCCACCCCTCCAAGCTTAGAAAAGGGGAGCACAGCAGTGTACCTGACTCGTCAAACTACAGTGCAATTGCCATGACATTACGCCGTCGGCAGCAACGTCCGAGTAGGCGGACCCCCAGGGCACTCACTCGGCAAATTCATGACGTCCCAGGTCGGCGAACATGAACCCGCAGAAGCCGTACACGTCTCCGGCCAGAAAGAGGACGCCGCGTCGCCGGCAGAGCGCGTTCAGCCGCGTCAGCTCCGAGTCGGGGCAGCCGGTGGCGACGAGCACATCGTACCGCGCCACCTGTTCCTCGGTGAGCTGGGTGCTGGGAGTCTTCTCGGCCGTGACGGAGACCATCGGGTTCAGACGCTGGGCGCGCTCCACCGAGACCTCGGCCCGCTGCCGGTCATATGGGGGACAAACGAGTTACGTGGGCACAGGGAGCAGGTCACGGGGCGAACAAGTCACCAGGTCACGAGTCGGCAGGTCACGAGTCAGCAGTTCACGAGTTACGTGGTCACAGGGAAGAGGTAGCCCACGAGTTACATCAGCACAATGTATATGTAACAGTCACGAGCTACATGGGCAGAGGGGACGACGGACGTCGACACATGGCATGGGTGCAGAGCAGATTGACATGGCCACACATGGCTTATGAGTAGTCCATTGTGGGACATAACATTGAGGGACATATGTGATTATAGGGAACACTCCAGGTCAAAGAACTAGGACCCATGTAACTGTACCGTGGCAGACACATCGATTGCAAAAAAAAAAACTAAATCACAAAAAAAACTTAAGTGATTTGCCACATCACACAGCCCCCCCCCCAAAAAAGTTTGAAAGCAGCGCACTAGAAAGGGAGTAATCCCTGTCTCCAGCTGGGCACAGAACAACTCACGTTGGCTCCGATCTGTCCGGCAGGCACAAAGAACTGGCAGCTGGCCTCGGAAGACGTCACCGGGTTCGGGTCGAGCATGGTGAGCGACTTGACGCCGGCCAGGATCAGGTTTTTGGCCACCTCCGCTCCAAGGCCGCCCATGTGTATCAGCAGGACACGGGCGGACCGCAGCCTGTCGGAGCGTGGGAGAGTCACAGCGAGAGTAGGCCGTAGGGGAAGTCGGGAAGGACCGGTGGCGATCGAAGTCAGCCAGCAGAGCTGGGGCACAGATGCATAGAAGATGCATAAAAAACTTCGGCTCAGTGTGACACTATGCAGACCTAAGGAAGGGATGTACTGAAATGTACTGTCGTTTAAATTCATACCAGCAAAGGAAGAATTGCAAACGAAAGAAAAAACATTGCGATTTAATACCTGATGCAGTATAATACTAAGACAGTGTGTATGGAACATGGATACACATGGACACACATACACCCAGATTCTGTGATGCACTGCAGGTACAGATAGAACAAACTATCGCCTCACCGTTTTTGGGCGTCCAGTCCCCAAAGTCGGATCTGCCGGTCGTAGAGGGCAGCCTCCTCCTCTGTGATGTCGCCTGACTCAAAGGTCACCATTCTGCCCAGTTGTATCTGAAAAGGATTCAGTGTCAGCTTTAGTGTCACTTTGTAGGAATCTAGTGTCACTATGCAGGAATCGAGATAACCAGGAGATTTTCAAAGAGCACCGTCAACATGTAAAGATAGGAAAAGGCTCAAATTGCAGGCCACTGTCCAAAATAGACCGCTCACTGGCGAGCGAGAGTCGTGAACGAATCAAAGTCACCAGCACCGAAACGGTTATCGCCATGACAATCCAGATTGATCGCAAATGTTCGATATGATCGAGCGGCACATCAAAACGTCTACAGTAAGGATGCGGAGCCGTGAAAATTTTAGACATCCCCGCGCTGGATTAGCGTTTCATCTTCATCTAATCCGAGTAAAAGGCCCTGATCACTGATGGCTCCGGCCGGCTCCGTGACGGTTTCGGCAGGCTCTGGCCTCTGGGCCGACTTTGACGTCTCCGGCCGGCTTTGACGTATGTCGGCCGCCACTATGATGGCCGCCACCGACGTCTCCGGCCGGCTCGTAGCAGAACGCACCAGTGTTGACCCCAGCTTCTCACTTCCAAGTTTGATCAATAAATTAGTATTTAGAATATGAAGAGCATGGCCAATGTATTTGGACAACACTAGCACCACAATCAGGCAATGCAATTATCATAATTATTAGATAAAAGTTAAAACTTTGCACACAAAAATGACTATAGAGGATGAGGCAAAATCAGGAGGGAGAACCAGGTACAAATGTATCATTAATCAGCTTCCAGCAAGCCATTTAAATAAGTTCTTGTATTATTTGTATTGAAGTCCTTGACTTGAGACTTAGTTTCAGGGCAAGTAGGACTTCATTCACTGCTTCAGCTTGACCCCCACGTGTATGTTAAGTTGACTTAAGAGTTAACCATCTCCATTTTAATTTACCTGATGCTGCCAAAAATGCTCAAAATTCAAATTAACAAACTATCACTTACAAGTTACATGCTTCAATGAGACATTACACTATTCCACTCCAAGCTGCCTTATCAATGCTTACTTGCAGAAAATCTGGCTAGCCTCCTAAGTCAATGGTAATGGTAGGTAGCACTGTTTGCTGTTTGGACTCAGTCTTCTTTTTTGAACAGCATGCTGCCAGTTTTTCAATCAGAGAAGTCCTTTGCTGGCGTTTCAATTTCTCAGCCTCTCATTGTGATTGGTAAGCCACTTGGACCACCAGAATTTGGCCAATGAGAAGCTAACACCAGTAAGCTTGCAGCCTTCTAACAAAAACAACAACCAACTCACCTGTTCAACTCACCTATACAAAACCTGTACACCTGTTGAAACTGTACAGGTGTTTCTATTGGGCTTAACATTAAGTCAAGTGCAGCTAAAGGGTAAGCAATGCATCACGTTAAACTGAAACAGATTGAGACGATCCCTCGGAGAGTCGGTGATGGAACAGCTGAATTATTAGCACAATTTTTCTTCTTGTACCATTTATAAAAATTGAGATGTTATGAGAAGCAGTTATGTAGTGTTATTTAATTCCAACCAAAAAGTAGGCATTGAACCAGGTAGGTAGGTATTATAGGTATTATACATGCCTCACCAACCACGATTGCCCTACAAAACCAAAAAAAAACTATGAAAATATATCTTAAGTCAGAGTATTCAGACCCAGTAAAATTAAAGCAAAATCAACAATAATAACCAGTATCCTTATAATTATTATTCCCCGTTCAATACATACATACACACCCCACCACAACCACGACGCGCACGAACATAAAAGCCGGCTTACTACAAACGACTACAAACAACGAATGTTATTTGGAAGCATATGTCGTCATTAATCTTTTGACAAGTGATTTGGCAATAAGCGAAAATAGATGAAGTATTTGATGTACCTATTTTAGCAAAAACCCTATTTTTGATGCATAACAATTAAGAAACAAAATCGAGTAAAAAATAAAGCGAATACATCTTATAAAGAATAAAAATTTGAAAAATGATATTTTATTCAATGACGTCAGAAGGGTAAGCTGGCACAAATACATCAAAAAGTTGATGCTGGGCCTGACGTCTTTGTTGTTGTTGCTGAAATTTGACTGTTGGTGGGAGGAGTGTGGGACGGGGTTTTATCGAGTTCGCGAGTTTAATACGTTATACTTTTTAATGCAAGATAAGGGAACTTTGCTTATAAGGTCTGTAGCAACTTCTCATCAAGTTTTCTTTAATATTTTTAGGCTGCAGGCTGAGTTGATTGCCTGTTATCGTGCGCCATGATTGTCCCGTGCTTTGTGCTTTTATGTATCTTTTTCATGTCCCAGTTTCATAGCCTTATACTTATAAGTGATATAATTAAAGCACTAGAATATACATATCAGCATTGCATTGTTTTATGCCTAAGCTCTTGCTTGTATCCATTTGATCTGAATTATTCTTGCAGGTTTCAACAGATCCTTCTCGAGGATTGACCCGTCAGCTTGAGGTACCTACCTAATTTTGCAACAAAATGGTGATTATTTTTTGCTTCTCCAAATGCTCTTCAGGTAATTTTGCTAAATTTTGTCATTTGTGACATTTAAACTACTATCAAGGGTCAGCCTAAGGCTAACTATATGAGGAAATATTATTTACCAGCTGAAATTATTCATGGTAATGCATAAGAAAATTACACTGATAGTCAGTTGTAAATGTGTCTATTTATTTGGCTCACTAAGATATGGGAGCAAAATGCACATTAACATAATTCAAGCAGTGCATGAACTTAACAAATTCCCAATGTTGCTACACATTCAAGTCCCATCACAGACTTTTGTTGTAAAATGCAGTAGGTATTCAAGAATTTTCTAAATATGGGGCAAGAAATCCATTTTTTGAATGAGCTTTGCCATTGTTAACTTTTCTTTGAAGGACAACAATGATGAGTATCATGTTTTTACTTGTGTCAAGCAACTTTTGAGCAATTATCCTCAGCAGTTTTGTGCCAACTTTTTGTCCCATTCCATCATTAGTACCTCAGGACATTAGATATAAATACAATAGTTTGCTGAATTGTGTCTCCTGTTCAGTGAGATGAGTATTTGTTCTATCTAAGGTTGTTTCACTTGTACATTGCACTTTATCCTTACAGTGTGCATCATTGTCAGAGTTCAACTTTATTATGTCTCCCATGGAAAGCAAATGTATCATAGCCAAGTTATTTTTAATTAGCACTTTTCCTAGAAAAAGTTTCTTGTTCCTGGATTCTATCCATTATTGTGTTAGCTTTGCACTTATGCCTAATCAGCTCATCCATGAGCCATTGTGACTCTAGTTGCATTGTTTTGCAGTTCAGAGAATTCAAGTGATATTTTTTTCCTTGGCTGTGGCATTTTGAAGCCACAATTTCAGACTGAGACATGTTAACTTTGTGTGGGGGGAGCAGGATGGGCCAAGCTACTATAAAATAATAGTGTCTTTGATTAGCAGATTGTACGTAGATAGCTTATTTCTTGTAAAATATTCCCATTCCAAAGATTGTCATCACTATCAGCCTAGCTATTTGTTGTCAGCTGGCCAGTGACTGCCATTTGGTTCCATGAGTCCTGGCATGTCTGCGGCTCCAGTGACGGGTCCGGTGCCGCCTTTCCCGCGGTGGCAGCGGCCGGCCGCTCGGTGCAGGCCCTGGACGGCCCTGGTCGTGGTACATGACTCACCCAGGAAAGTGGCGGACTTTTCCTCCATGGTAGCCGCTCGGCAGAGTCGCCGATCCTGCATGTCGGGACGCGGATCGGCAGATCAGCTGCAGAACGCTCGCACGTCACGTTATAAAGAACCTGTTTGAGCCGCCAATCGCCGCTGGTTGTAAGCTTTTCATGCAGTTAGGGATCAGAATCTGCTTCTTGCACGCATTTTGTGACTATTTACATCACATGACGAGACCGTAAATGGTTTGACGTCATATTTGTTTCTGCAGGAAACAAGCTTCGTATTGAAGTGCCTGTCGATCCATTTTTACGCAAGTTGAATGTTTTATGTAGGCGATATGAATGCAGTTCGTAATACCTTCGTTACATTGTTTGTCGACCTGCGTAACCGCAGTTTGAATCAAATTATTCATTGGGCGATATGATTAAAAATTTCGTATTCATTGCCTGTCGGCCGTCGGGCGAATCTTTTCTCGTTGATGAGCGGTGCTCTGAAGATGACGTTGAATTTAAATGTGCCAGTGCGCATTATAGCGTAAATTTCGGTTCAGACTTGATACACACGGCTTACGATTACCGCGTTGCGTTCGCCGCCGTGTGCTTTTTGCTCACCCTGCAGATAATTGCTGTTATCTGTTGCCCTGGTTTTGGTGGAACATTTGCTTTTTTAGCGAGGGCCGTCGCTATATTTGCTATTTTCCTTATACATCACCTTTGTATGGGGCACACTTGGCGGAGCTTTATCAAGTGACTGCTATACATAGTCGCTGACATTATCTGTTGCAGCCACACAGAGACACCCGTGTGAGACGTCACCGACTGACAGCTACTGTCACACCCTTCCACAGGCGCTCGGGATGAACTTCTCCTCGCTGACAGTAACTGTCATGACTGTCAACAGGCGCACCCCATCAGTGTTATAACTGACAATAATTATCACAACTGTCTACAGGCTGGGTGTGCTAACTGCTATGTGTGTGTGTAGTTTGCCATAGCTGGCAGCCACTATCACTCCTGTAATGTCTGCAGGCGCCTGTGATGGAAGTGGGCAGGACCGCCGAGTATGATACGGGAAATGGCACAGTCATGGACAAGGACGGAAAGTCGCCCAAGGTAAACGTGCTTGCAGCTTGTGTGGCACTTTTTTGCGCAGCTGACGTGAAGTTGCGGTTATCTGTTACAGTCATGTGTACTTTACTGTTCACTGTAGCTACATCTTTCGATAATGGCGTTCCTTTTTCTATGGTGTGATGAGGGGTGTATTTTGCCACACTGCTCTCTGTTGTCTCCATCTCGCCTTTGTTCTGCGCGGTGCGGGCGGCGAGCCGCCAGTCGGCCGTCGCCTCGCTGCTCGCCGTTTGTTTTTGTTGGCGCCAGCTGAGGACAACACCCTGCCCCTCCCCCTCCCGTCCCTCTTGCCGCTGCAGAGCGTCAACTTTGAGCAGGGCGAGGACCAGGCCGATGGCCGGAAAAAGTACCTGACGGCCAAATATGGCAGCCACCAGATGGCGCTCATCCGAAAACGGCTGCACGTCGAGATGTGGCTGCTGGAAGAGATCGCCAAACTCTACCGCTCCGGGGTGAGTCTACTAAACTCTTTCGGTCCTGGGTGAGTGTACCAAACTCTACCGGCCCTGGATGAGTGTACCCGATAATATAAATCCGGGACCAAACTCTACCGGTCCGGGGGAAGTGCACCACACTCTGCCGGTCCTTGGTGAGTCCACCAAACTCTACCGGTCCGTGGTCAGTGCTCCAAACTCTATCGGTCCGGGATGAACTCGTTAAAAAAAAAAAATCCTTTCACAAATAGTGCTGTCGGGGCGCGGACGTATGTTTGGTATCCAGGATAGAGGTGGACCTGGGTCTGTTTCGTCCGACAGGGATAACCGTGAGCGGGCTGGTCCGATTTCTGTATATGGGGACAGACTGGTCCGGCTTGGATTATGAAGGGACAGACTGGTCCGACGACGTGGGCAATGTGCATTCAGTGTGGTCCTCCGCGGCTGACGTGAAAGCCAACTGTCGTGGTCGAGCGATCCATATCCCAGGCGCCGCCGGAATGCTTTCCTTTGCCAGAGTCAACATAGGAAGTCGTCTATAAGGACAGCTGTCACCGACACCGCTAAAGCTGCTCTTTTTCGTCGCCGTTCAATGGTGCATGCTAAAAAGTAACAGTGGATCAATGGCTCGTTGCACTGTCTCAGTACTTTCATGAGAATCGTGCTGAAGACGCCGAATCGCTGTTTCAGTAATCGTGCATTTGGTATTGAATCTTCTGCGTTTTTTTTTTTTTTAATGATTCACAGATTTTCGGTCATGCGGGATAACGCCCGAGAAGCTCAATAGATGTGAAATCGGCTGAGGAGGCTAACAGCCACCGGGAGAATCCGTTGTCTTATTGACTAATCATGGATTGCCTGTGCATTGAACGTCTTGGGTTCGGTACAGTATCCTATAGTTTTGTTTTTATCCTACATTTTTGAAGTTAATATGCCTCGAAGCCATTCAAGCTTAAACCTGACCTTAATATTGTCAGCAGTTCAATTATGGACGTCAACACTACGACATTGATGATAATACATTGGGCTTTAATTATCCCGGACTGCTGAGGTCAACGGCGCTACGTCTGACAAATTAAACTTATAAATAGAATCGCCGGATTATTGGCACGACTCGTCACTATCCGAGCTACCCCGGTATGCCGCGCTGGTGTCCCGAATGGACAGTTGTATTCGCTGCAGAAATGGACGGGATCCACAGGACTGAGCTGTGACCGGACCCGTGTCTCCAACTCTGACTTTGCCTATGTCCCCAACCCTTGAATGAACCCTGATGTCCTCGCCGCTGACTGGGCGAGGGTACCATCACTGGCCAGACCTCCACGCCGCTACCACCGAGCTCTGACGGAACCCCTCTGCCGCCAGGATCCGGCCGGCGCCGCGCCGGAGAAGGAGCTCGACTTGGACGAGCTCCTGGACCTCGATGATGACGCCAGCCGGCGCGTCTTCCTGCAGCGTTTCCTGCAGGACGCTGCCGCCGCACCGGACGCCGTCACGGTTAGTGTGAGACGCCACGGCTGTCGCGGTATCACGGCTAGACAGTCGTTCCTGCCCGCGCCAGTCTGTGTCCTATGACCCGACTGAATCTCGAGCTGCACTCTGTACTGGAACCGACGATGAAATGGACCTGCATACACATCCTGACTCATTATTATTCTGATCTCTGTCGATCCACCGTATATCATGCGCCGATTTCGCGCTGAAAGGAATAACTGGCTGTTCTCGTTGTATGTATTAACAATACCTAATGTCTAATGTCGTAAAAGTTTTTATGAGTGACGTTCATGGATAAACATAGATGTTTTGTGCTTCGTCTTTTTGTAGCATTGTGTGCGACGCATATATCCATGACAAGCGTTGACAATGTATCGGACCAGCGTTGACAGTGTATCGGACCAGAGAACGTTGACAGTATATCGGACCTGCGCTCATCTAACGTTTCCCTCGATTCTGCCGGCAGAGGTTTATCGAAGAGCTTCTAGTACAAGCCAAGAAGCTGTGATGTCGGCCGGCCGCCGTTTTAGCAGAGGTTAGCTCAGCGCGGTACACCGTCCGGCCCGCAGCAGGTACGATCTCCGGGCGCTGGGCCGTGCGCCGGACCGCCACAATCAAACTCCCTGGATCTGCCCCACCGGCCTCGTCCGGCTCATCTCACGCTCAGATCTGGTGTTCGGCAATCATGGCGTTTGTAACTGATGGGCGGTGGGCCGTCTGCGGCCCCTGTGAAACGCAACTAGAGTCATACCACGACCGATGGGCATCGCATGTTGGTGTGTTTATTGGGGAGAGGCAGCGAGATGATGTTGCCAAGAATCTGGGCTGCACGTGCGGCAGCTGTGTGCCGCTGCAGCCCTCTGAGAGCGGTGCCGAGTCGCCCCTGGAGGTAGCGCCGTCGTAACTTTATACGAGGACGCCACCGCGCCCGGCCACGACCCCAGAGTCTATGGCTCGCGCTGCGTGTTCAACTCCCATAAATGATAGCGTGTCTAGTCTTTCTTCGTTCTGTCTTAACGAGTGGTGGCGCCGTTTTCGGCGCGGTTCGCCGCTAGTTGGCGGTGCCATTTTCTCCCGCGCGTCGCGGCGCGCCTTTATTTGATACCGTCGGGAGCGCGCGGCCGGACGGTCGGCGCAGTCGAGCCAAAGTGGTGACTGAGCGGTGCCACTCGCGCTGTGATTCGGCGTCATTCCAGCCGGCCGCCGTCTGATTGCTCACGGGTCTTCCGGAGAGGCGGGGCGGACCCGCGCGCCGCGCGATAACATCCGTGTGCGCGAGTGTGACATACATTATAAATATACGTGACATTGAAACAGCTTCTGAAATTAGAACAGACATTGAAACGGCCCATAAACCCTGATTAACTAAGAATAGCGTCTCATCCCTCTCGAATGACCTCTCTGACATGGCTCATATATGATGTCATCCATAGCTGTACTAAATGCTAATTTGGTTGTCAGTTTAAAGACGTTTATTTAGTAATCTCGAGATGCTTCTCTAATTACACCTTGCAACCAAAAACAATCCGCGATGAATAGCGCGACTAACTAGCTATAAGAGATTAATCCAAATAAGGACCCATCGGAAACTGACCCCCCCCCCCCTCCGTACCGCACCCCACACTCTACATAAAAGTGCAATTTTCTGTAATTGGAAGTGAACACTGAACAGGTATATTAACATTCAGCGCCGTTCCTTTATCGGCATGTGGATGGATGTCATTCGTTGAAAGCGATTAAAAATGGGAATATTTGCGGCAGCGCCGGGAACATGAAATGAGGCCGCCACCCAAACGTATTTACGTTCATCGCGATAACGATATGTATACTGTATAGTCCATTTGATACTGACTATTATGCCCGTGTTGCTCCGCATACCTGCAAATGTCGTGTAGCATATCTGCATATATCGGCGACCGTAAGCCTGTATGACCGATGAGGGTACGACATGCAATGTACCTAACTGGACCTGAAAGTGTAACGGCTGAGCGGCGAGCTCGTTCCGACCTCAAAGGGGCAGCCCATTCGACTTCAGAGACACACCTTGATCCGACCCAATGGAGCCGTCGCGGTCTGACCTCTGCAGCTCGGCCGGATCTCGGAGGGGCGTTTCGGTCTGACCCCAGCTCGGTCTGACCTCAGAGAGGCGTCTCGACCTCTCGGATCTCGTACTGGAAAATGTGCAGCCGCAGCGCCGAGTTGTCGCTGCCCGGTCGGCTGCTGGCTGGTGCGGCATACCGGAGCGCCCGCCGGCGCCGACGGTCCTCCAGCACCGCGCCGCAGACGGTCTCCGCTCCGCACGGACCCTGGCACCGCTCCACCAGCAGCGCCGCGCAGCCGGCCAGCATGCCGGCGAACCAGCAGAAGAAGGCGCCACGCAGGGCGTGCAGGTCCAGCGTGGGTGCCGGCGAGCCCGCGTGGCCGCTGCCGCTGGTGGCTGTGTTATCCGCACACCGGGACGGAACGTTACGGCGGTACAGGTACTGGACGATGCCGAACTGCTTCAGCCACCGGATCGAGTCGTCCAGCAGCGGCGTGTACATGCTGTTCTTCTGCAACATCATGGCGTAAAAGTCGCGCCGCAGGTTCTCGCGAGCCAGGTGGAACGGACAGCGGCCGCTTGTCTGGCCTGTCCGACGCATGTATTTGTGCGCCCGGGCGGAGAGCGCACGAGGACTTTGGAATAGTGTGGCTTCACCGCTTGCGATGCGCTTCAGAAAGGACATATAGTATGTGGACTTTGATAAGCGGTGGATGCAGTCGGGACAGGCGGTCATTTTGGCCCAGATGCGTCCACGCGCTCCGGTGGTCTGGTTCTGGAACATGTGGAACTGACTGTGGCCGCGCACCACGTGCGGCTGCACGTCCGAGTCGGCCAGCTGCTCGAGCGAGTCGAGCGGCGGCTGCCAGCGCGGCAGCGACAGGAAGGCGGTCAGGTTGCCGGCGTACACGGCCGCCAGCGTCACCGTCACCACGTACAGGAAGAAGACGAGCGTGCGGCCGGCGGCGCCGGCGCCGCGCGCCGACACGCCCTGGCCGGAGAGCAGCGCCACCGACTCGAGCAGCAGCGGCGACCAGCGCTGCCGGCGGCTGGGCAGCCGACAGCGGCGCTCGGCGGCGGCCGTCAGCCAGCGCAGCGCGGCCGCCGCCGGCGCCAGCGCCAGCACCAGCGCCCACACCGCCGGACGATACACCTGGAAGATGAGTAGTGGTGGTCGCAGCGGCTGTGGCGCCGCCGTCATGAACGTGGTGGTGCCGGTCCAATGCCACTCGGCCATGTCGACGGCGCGCACCCGCTCGTACATGACGGTGCAGCTGCCTACCCCGACGTCGGCCTCGCCGCGCTGCAGTGCCGCCAGCCGACCGTAGGCCGAGCCGTCTTTGTAAATCATTCCGCATGACGCCACGTCTTTTACGACCATTCGGAAGTGGAGCTTCTGGACGAGCAGCGCGAACGTCTCCCCGAGGTAGCCGCAGAGATCGGCGCCGCCGTCTGGCAGCGGCCGGTACCCGAGGAGCGTGTTGGTGCAGGGCCGGTCCGGTTTGCCTGCCGAGTCGAGGAGAACGGTGAGCTGCCGTCCGCCGAGGTGCCGCAGCCGCCAGTCGGGCGTCGGCGCCGACAGTGTCACCCGGCCGTCGGTGACGGCGCCCACCGCCGACAGACGCACCGAGCCGTCGCCCGGAGAGGAGGAGGCCAGCAGCGCGCACGGCGAGCCGGCCGCCGACGGGCACAGCGCCACGGTGACGCGCTGCGACTCGTGCAGCGCGCCGGCCAGCGGCGCCGCCACCTCGGACACGTTGCCGAGCACGGCCACGAACCAGGCGGTCCGGTGGACGGGCCCCGGCGGCCGCACGCGCCGGTACGCCGCCGCCACGTCCCGGGCCGTACCGAGCACGGCCAGCGTGCCACCGCCGTGCTCGGAGGACGCCGTCTCGTGCGCCGTGGCCACGCCGGCGGCCCAGAGGCGGCGCGTCAGGCAGCCGGCCGCCTCCCGACCGCTGTCGGTGCCGACGATGGTGACCTCGGACGGCGGGGTCAGCGTCAGGAGGGCGGCCAGCGCGTCCGACAGCGGCTCCGAGCGGCACCCGCCTGCGGAGGGCAGAGAGTGTCAGTAGCGTATTAAACACTCGTGTCAATACCTTGTGGGACACCGTCATCAGTTCCGTCATCGAGATGAAGTCAATGACTTCGGTACCGAAGTGATGACTGTTACAGTGATAGAGCGCATCGTGCTTCGTTCGTCGCCTGCGGCTGCACAACTCGTTTCCTCGATAGCTGTTTAACGGACAATGACGTTAGTTCCTGCCACTTCCCACAAAGTGATGTCTGTGTTTATGTAGACCCGTTCATATGACGTTTTGATCGGTCAAACGTCGGCACCACTTAGTAAAACGGCCGGTCGGACATCGGCACCTGTTGAATGTCTGATCGCCTTTCAAGTGTGTCGAGAGTCATTTGGTGAGAGTGGTCGGTGCATTAGCGCGATCGATGCGTTTATGGCTAGCCGGTGGCCGTGTTACTCCTGCTACCGTTCTGTCGCATGGGCCATCAACCGCGTTATATGCAGGCAGCACCGCCTGTTCGGGCTTCGTCCTCACGGTGCATTCTGTTAACATGCTCGGAATTATTACGAACGGAAACATCAAACAACAGATGTAGGCCTCGAGTTCCTTGAACGCATGGCAAGAATGGGCCAACTGCGAACTGCCTTGTGTTTATGGTGACGCTAAAACGCTCGAGATCCATTTTTCGTAGTACCTATCATCTATTGGAAATGTCGACTGCACTTCGAAAATGTATCGAGCAGTCAATTTATTTAGGTAGGTCTGAACATCTTGATGTCACTTTTCCTCTGCAGCGCTTGTTGAAATATTTCAGAGACATGACACCGGTACTTTTGTTACTCGATATGTTAATAGTTTTACACTCTATGTACAGTCAAATAATTAAACCGCATTATGAAATGCGGCACGGGGTTTTTGTCGTCATGTCAGGTCCTACTGCTACGACCTGACACGTAAATGACCTTAGGTCATGGCGTGACCTTAAGAAGTGACATCGATGTTGTGGGAAAGTAGGTAAGCTAAGGTCATGGTCAGTCGTTTCGGTGTCTTTTTCAGCGTTCTAGCTCTTCTGTTTGGGCCATAATCATGCTGTGAAACTTTGGGGACCAAGACCGTTCTTGACCTCTACGTCAAACTGCTTCGAGAGCTGCTGATTCAATTCACAATCCAAGCTGCTGATCCACGTATCCCAAGAGCTTTGTGTAAGCGAGCTGTCGTTCGAATCGTCGAATCCTAGGCATCTCGAATCGGGGCTGAATCCGCGGTGAGGTCTGAATTGCACTGATTTCAGACATTTGAACATACCCTGGTCAAACAAGATCACACATTCACTATCGGTTCGTAGGTAGAGTTATTAATTATCGGTCTATCTCTATGGTATTCGAATAATGTTCCAGATGATTTTTCTATATAAAAAGTAGGCATTTTATTTAGCTGTACTCCGGCATCGGTAAGTTACTCACCCCCTCCCCCTCCCCAGCAAACAACATATAATATAAAATTATACACCTACCTTGATTTCCATCCAGCTGCAGTGCGGTAGTCGCCGTTGCCGGACTCAGCCGAAAGGCGCACAGTGCGGCACTCAGAACCAGCAGCGCCCGGGCTGCCGGGGCCGCAGGCCCGGTCATATCCTCACGCTCGATCGGACGGCGGTCGTCTGCTGGCGTGACACGACCATCGCCCGGGGCGCCGGCCGCCGACCTCCCCAGGGCTCCCCCCAGGGAACGACCGGCGGCGCAGGTGTATGGACGGTATCGACGAATAGACGGTCCGATGAACAGACGATATATAGGTGCCGCGCGGACGTCCGATAGGGATGGTTTGGGGTGTATGTGTAACGATACATGTCAGGATCAAGTGAAAAGCAATTGTCTAATTATGTTCAACATTACCCTCGGCTCTCTAGCGGGTGGTGTATAAAATTCGGCGCTGGGCCGTTATCGCTCGAAGGCAAATTGCTTTATATTATTGTTGTTGCGCTCCTCCGAATGTTACCCTGCACATACCAGCAAGGGGATTCCTTATTCATGTGGCCGTTTAGATAAATGACATTTAAAGTGAACTGCACCTAAATTCCGGGTCTTATGATCACGTGTGAGCTTTTGTGGGGCACCACAGAAAGCTTTGCCGGTGAATTAAGCCATTAGGCATGGCATCATGGGCCATTTGACCCCAGGTGACATTGTCGACATTTACACAGCAACACTATGTTTATGGAGCTGTGACCCACAGTTGCAATAAAATACGGCGAACAACTTTTGGTGGGCCTTGTGTGACATCTTCTTACTTTCCTAACAGTAGAGTCAGGAATGCCTAACAGGGAGAGGACAGTCTCAAGTTGTTGCTTCGGCTATTTGGCAAACATTGGCCTTTGTACGATCGCATGATTGAAGGAGCGAATTAGACACAAATGAGTTGTTATTGCGGAAGACTGCGACAAGTGACATTGGATCTTCAAAGGGTTGTTTTTGCGCGCTGTATCGATTGGTGAGGTGAGCCATAGCCATGTGTCGGGTAAAAGTCAATTGGGCTTTGGGACTCGGGTGGCCTGGATGAGCCTCCAACCGTTTAACCTCATGAGGTCAAACGGTTTGACCTCATGAGGTCAATCGTTAAGAGGGGCACGGTCACACGTATCATGCAGGAAGATTTTCAAGTCGCCTTCAGTTTGACCCGCACTCTGGTGCTCATTGGTAGCTGCCTGAATACGAACATGCTTCAAGTGGTCAATGTTTATATAAACAAAGCAATGCCTGTGTACCTATTTGTGATGCGTTTTAACAAGCAGGTAGGCAATGGGCATAGACATGCATGGATGGATAATAAATTACTGACTTTCCAGCACTTACTATGCGATCAAATACTACACTTCAGTCAGACAGTACTGGCAGCGATAAACTAAGCAATGTTCCTAAGCAAACTAAGCAGTTGTTCCCCAACACGGGAAACAATAAACTAAGCAATGCCTCAGAAAAGAATCACACTTTAAACGTGAACCAAGCCTGGCAGAAGTGACGCCAGTAGACGCTTCAGAGCTTGCTCAGCACTGGGCGAGGGGCGGATTTGCGGTGGTGGTGACGGTGTCGAGGCGACCTCTACGCCCTCATTCAGCTGCATTGGCGCTGTCAGGTGGTGAAACACGGAACCTGCCGGCCGCTGTTCGGACGGTGGCGCTGCGACGTGGGGACGGGGAGGCTTGGAGCCCGCTGCACGCTGACTAGATACCCGGTACTGCGGGTGTTTGAAACCCCAATCGGGCTGAAAAGAGCTAACCTGCTGGGTCCCGGCCTGCTGGTGTCCAGGACTCGTCTGTTGGCCCTCCAGAGGCGGCATCATGACGTTGGGCACTTTCCTGTGTCCCTCGTCGGTGGTGATCAGGGCAGTGCCGTCTCGGCCCCGGGAGACAGCCTGCCTGCCATCGACATCCGTTTGTTCCTGGAGATCTTGTGAAGGTTCCTCGAGCTCTTCATCTCCGAGGACGGTGATTGGACCGCTCTTCAGGTGCGCCTGAAATATTTTCCCGGAGAACAGGCGGTGGTCACCCGTCTCCAGGGAGTGCCGCCTCTCGGTGGTAGGTGCCTGACCGCCCACCCTCCGAGCTAGCATCTTCCCCGGCGTGTCGGTGGCTGAACTCAGCTGTCGAGCCCGACGCTCGGCGGCGGCCGGTGCCGACGGCGGCCGCCGCATAGACCGGTACATGATGACTGGCGGGTTGGTGGCCTTACTGAGTCTGGTGGAGCTGTGGAAGCCCTCAGAGTCGGGACGAGCAGAGTCCCAGCGCTGTGCCACGCCTCGTCGCACTTCAAACCGGTCTGAAGGACGGTCGTGTCGAGTCGGGTCCCGGCCTGGGTATCGATCCCGCTGCGGATACGGGTCCCGGTCTGGGTACGGGTCCCGCTCCGGATACGGATTCCGCTCCGGATACGGGTCCCTCTTTTGATAGGGATCCCGTCCCCTCACCGAATTGCCGTCTGTAAAGGAGTTCCGTGCTTCGTAATGATCAAAATTAGCGTACGGATCCCTTGCCGTATTTGGATCTTCGGAATACGGCCTCCTTTTATCGTGGGGATTCCGATTTCGGGAAGAATCCCGTTCCCTGTATGGATCTCGTGTCGCATACGGATCCCGCTCTTTGTACGAATCTCGATCCTTGTACGAATCTTGTTCAGAATATGATCCGTGTCGCTCATGCGGATCTCGATCTGAATTTTGATGCCGTTTAGTTATCGAATCACTGTCTGGGCTTCGGTTTCGATTCAGATACGGATCTCTAACGGCGCCGGAGTCACGGTCATAGTACGGATACCGATTCCGGTTCGGATCCCGCCCGGCGCCAGGACCCGGATCTGGATCCTGTGGTCTCCCGGGATCCGGATCCGGTCGTCGCCCGGGCTCTCGGCCGGTGCTGGCGTAAATAGTCTCCATTCCGCCCCGCTCGGGCTTCTGTCGCTCATACGATGGGGCCGTCTCGTCGAAGGGATGAATGGGTGGCCGGTGACGGGGTGGCTCGGGCGCCGGTCGGCCGACGCTAGAACTAGCAGCGAAAGCTGAATCGACGGGCCTTCGTTCTGCGCCGCCTGACGCGCTCAAAGAGAGCGACGTGCGGACGTAGGTGGGGCGCATCGTCACGTAGCCCTGGTGTCGGGTCGGGTACGGTGGTCTGGGTGGCGCGGCGGGCGCCGGCCATGCAGATGACGCCCCGGTCGGCCGGCCGTGGTGTGCCGTGGCCGGCGGCTCCTCCAGGGACTGCTGCCGGTCCCGCTGGTACGCCTCCATCGGAGTCGGGAAGCGCGTGTCCGGCTCCAGCTTCTGCACCACGTACTTGCTGGTCACGTTGCGCGCCTGCTCGAGGATGGTCTCGTAGTTGGAGAGGTAGCTGTGCACGCGCTCTCGGTTGAAGGGCGCTGCCGGCGGCGGGCGCTCGCCCTCCGGCGCCGAGATGATGTAGGTGCACTGGCGGCCGGCGCAGCCCAGGTCGTAGCTGGGGATCCGCTGGTTGTCGACGGACGTGTATCGGTCAGCGGTGTTCAGCCAGGTGGTGGTGGCTGGTGAGGACCCGGCCGGACGGGAGGGGCGCTGCCCGGGCGGCCGGTAGGACCCGGCGCTCACCGGCTGGTGTGTGCCGGCTCCGAACGATACCAGCGGCAGCTGGGGGCCGTGGTGGCCGTCCGCGGTGTACACGGTTGGTGGACGGCGCTTTGGCCGCTCCCCGTCGCCGGCCGCCGCTCGGATGATCCAGGCGCTCTTCCCGCCGGGCGCGCTGGGGCCGCGGTGTAGCTCCGTGGGCCGGCCCGGGTCCAGCACCACGCCGAGCGCGTCTGCCGAGCGCAGCACTCCCAGCGCCGTCAGCAGCGCCAGCACCAGCACCAGCCGCCCGGCGGGCATCGCGGCCCGTCCAGCCTGCGCACAAAATAGCAATGTCAGACAAATGGGCCTAGAGTTTTCCCATCTATTCACCAATCAGTCTCGAACTATAAGCTGCCAGGCTAGCTACCAGGCTGGCGACGGTGTTATTGAAATCTTATTAACGTTATTGCTCATTTCGGCTTGTCTTAAGTGGCATATATGCAGGCACCTCAATGTATTAGATGATTTGCGCCTTTTATTTACGTCTCTGTTGGTGTCGTTAAATGGGATGCTCATTGCTCAATGCACCTCAAATGTGATAAAAAGTGATGTCACTTTTTGACCGCAACCGTAAAGTGACAGCAGTTTACAAATTGGTTGTGATTCCATTTCCAGAGAACATTTTAAGGATAACGAAGCATTGATGCAGTGCAAAGTATTTAGGTATTTTTCGTGTCGATCATAGCATTCTCGACATCGAGTTATCGTGAATAATCGGTGGGGGATCTAATAAAACGTCCCTCCCTTTCAATGGTGGTTTAACGCTATCCAATATGGCTCACGCCATTCTCCCAATATGGCTCACGCCATTCTTATCATGCGGTCTAAGAACTTATGTTGTTTTGATATGTATAATATTTGTTATGACCTTTTCCTCGAGTTAAGAAATATTAAGAAGTCGAAAATGATGTATTCTGCAGAGCACTGAACAACGTAACCGAAGGTTTGTTGTCAATAGTTAAACACTATTCTTTAGAATTGTGTTTTCTATTGAAAAACAAATCTGAGTTCCCTGACAATTTGGCAAAAGCTGCCTGAGATATCCTAACGAGGTTTTATTTGATTCACTGTACCTACACCTACGTAGGTTACATGAGCGATACCTAAGTATGTATAGTGATTAGCGATAGACAAGTACCTATATGTTGGTACGTATACTTGCATTGCAAGTATTTTAGCCGCACTAAGGGAATCGTTAATACATCAGTGAATGAACTAGACGATAGCTACTAAAAAGGCTCTAAACTTGAACGGTTCTCTCTAATTAACCGTAGTAACTTATAGCATGGAGTTTTCGGTTTTATCGCTGACCGGGAGAACACCAGTTTAGGTAGGTATTAGTTGGCTATAGCCAGTACAAACGACAGAACATGAAATTTTACTGACTTACGGAGACCGAGAAGATCAATTTATTCAACGTGTTTGCCCGAATTCAACGAGCGTGACCAATGACCAATTGAACTATGACCTCGTTACCGCCCCTTGTCAGCTTATCCTCCTCCTCTATACATGTAACATCAGGTGACTGCGCGGTGTGTCGCTGGTCGGCATGAGGGGACCCGAACTGTGGCGCCGGGGTCACCGGCCGTGACATGGAGGTCACCAGTGTGACAGTGGAACCCCCAGCCGTGACATTGAGGTCGGGCCGCCGACTCACCGCCAGTCGGCGAGGTATGACACTCCCCAGATAACCTGCCGGCCATGTGATAACGAGTTTCCTGGGAGTGAAAATGAATGAAAATGAAGCACCGCGAGGCGTGGGCGGAAACGTTCCCTACAATCTACATGTCATGGTCGTGACCTGTAATGGCCCTTGAACTTGGAGAGAAGCTGGCATTGCACCCGCGCAGACTGAAATGAGTATGTCGCAGTCATTGCCTTTTTGGGTGAACTTTCTCTGTTTCAGCTCCGCTAACTTGTCCAAGATATAGATCTGTTGCGTCTAGCTTTCTGTGGCAAGCTCTACGATATTGGATGTGGCATGTCACACATGGCACATGCTACAACAAACGCATCACAACACATTCATGCTTTCAGCTAGCGGTGTCATAGTCGCTATATTGGCTGTAGTTAAGTTGCCCCGCAGCCGTGTGCAAGTTACTGGAGCGGCGGGCAGTAACCCCACATAGCATTCCAATGTGGGTGAATATTGCGGCGGCTCAAAGCGTGCCTCAGTGCTGGGTAAGTAATTAGTAGGTTACATATCATAGATCCATTGCGTGCCGTGTGCCATATCATTATCGCTGTTGTGAACCATGGACGAGGACAGTGTGAAGCGTGCACTGATCAGTGCAATCAAAGAAGGAGCTTTCCAGGATCTGTTCCGCACAGAAGTGAAGGAAGCTGTCACGGCAGCCGTTCGAGAAGCACTAGCTCAAAAGGACGCGGAGATCCAGGAACTAAAGGAAGAGCTAAAGGAGACACGAGAGCAACTGAATGATCTAGAACAGTATTCCAGACGTCTGTGTCTCAACATAACCGGGATCCCTGAGGGAGGTGCAAACGAGGAAACGAACCGACTGGTTATGGACACAGCCAAGCTGGCGGGTGTAAATATCTCTCCACACGACATAGACACGTCTCATCGCATCGGCGGGACTGCGAGGCCCGGTAAGGAACGCACAATAATCGTGCGTTTCACCTCATTCAAAGCGCGACAGGAGCTATATAACGCTCGCAGAGAGCTTAGAAAGCCACGCCCTGTACCAGGGTCCAGTGTCTCAGCCGAAACTGCTGGTAAAATTTTCCTGTCGGACAATTTAACTCGTGCAAACCAGCATTTGCTTTTCCAAGCCAGACAGCTGAAAAAAGCCAACAAGATCTCAGCAGCTTGGTCTGACGTCGGACGGCTGAAGATCCGCGTCTCCCAGAACGGACCGACCAGGATCATCAAGTCCATCGACGACCTGGAGAAACACGCTGGCGTTCAGCTGCGCGATGTGGCGGCCGGCGCATCGAAGTCGGCGGACGGCGCCGGGGCGGGAGTCGGGCGCCGGGTCACCCGTCAGCAGGCGGCCCAGGCTTCCCAGTGATCCGATGCGCCCTGTCGGTCTCCCTGCCCGACGGCCCTCGCGACGCCGCTGACGCCATCGGGCAGCTGATGCATCTCAGCGCGACGATTTCCGACTGAAGCCCTCTCTGGACGCAGCATTCCGGTGCCCCGTGAGAAAGGCGCCTATCGATAAGGTTAGTCGGACTCGGATCAGAGACTGTGTCATGTGTGTGAACTCTCGGGTTGGGTATTGGGCCGCAAAACCGGCCACTCTGCAGTCCGGGAGCGTGTGGAGCCTTGGCCGTGTCCGTGCCACAGTGCGACCGGTCGGTCTGGATTGTCTGTAGCCCCGAGCGCATCCCACGGACGCCGGAGGCGGCGGTCGGCTGGCCCGACTGTCTGGCTGACCGGGCGGGGCGACCCGGTGCACGTGAACTTTGGTGGCGTCTGACGCTGCTCATACTGCTGTCAGCCGGTGGGCTGGGCTGTGACACCGCCGCGCTCCTCGGTCGGACCGGCTGGCCGATGTGTCCTGCTGCCGAGGCACCGTGTCGGGTGTGGGCACGGGCGCTGCCTTGTTAGCCGGACTTGGGATGTGACGCGGGCGGGTGCTGGCGGCCGGGGTCGGTGGCTCGTGCTGCCTGCTGGGGATTGCGGTGGGGTCGGGCGGGGATCGGGGTGTGTGTAGTGGTATAGACGTGGGGTTTCACTCAATCATCAGTCGTAGCAATGTTGCCTGTCACTTCCGTTTATGTCGTTTTATGTTTACGTTTCGTTTCCTTCGTTATCATGTTTTTTTACGTCGTATTGTTGTGGTCATTTTGCTTGTATATGTTGTTGATTATTATTATAACGTTCTGTCATTACCATGTTTCAAGCATATAATTTGATAATCACTGCAGCGCGGCCCGCCGCCGCCGCCGAAGTGCTTCGTACACCGGATCGAGTCCACCGGAGCTGTCGCCGCCCCCTCGGGCGCGCCCGCCCGCCGACTGAACACGCCGTTGACTTTACTGCCTCGTAAATTCGCAGCCGCCGTCCGCTCGTCGCCGCTAGACAGTTCCTATCCTATCCTATCCTATCTTATCCTATCCTGGCCACATCACCTGCGAACTAAATTATTATCGCTAGAAACAAGAAAATGTCACATAACTCTTAGCATCCATACAACACACAAACACTGGAAACGCCTAGGGGAGCACACAAATTTGCAAAGCTTGCTTGTTATAGGTGGCGTAGAAACAAATCCTGGGCCGAATATCACACACACTCTAAATGTTTCACATATAAATATCAACAGTATAACAGCGACGCAAAAGTTAGACGAGCTTCACCAATTCATCAACGCTAACGACATTAAAATCATGGCCCTAACAGAAACAAAACTGGATTGTACTGTTGCAAGCAGTTTGTACGCAATTGAAGGATACCACGCTCCAATAACCAAACACAGAACCAGACATGGAGGGGGAGTCGCAGTCTATGTACACTCGTCTTTGCCTGTGCAGAGGTTAATAGATCTAGAAGTAGGAAACCATGAATGGCTTTGGGTCAAAGTAAAGACTAAAGCTTTCACTCTAATCATATGCTGTCTATATTTGCCACCAAACCAACCAGTTGAAAAATTAGACAATTTCATTGGAAATTTCTCGGAAGCCGTGCTACAGGCGCAAAGACATGCACCCACTGCCACATTAATTTTAGGAGATTTCAACGCAGGAAACGCATACTTAAGTGAACAATTGCAAATTCGCAGCAGTGGAGTTACACCATTTGACAATGCGCTAAAAGACGCCGCTGATGGATTATGTTTGCACGAACTAATAACAGAGCCAACGCGTTTTTCAAGAAACTCATGTAATTTAAGAGACTTGATATTCACGAATTGTACAGAAATAATCACTAAGAGCGGTACATTATCTCCATTCGCTAATTTGGATCATTGCCCAATATTCGCATCGTTAAACTTCATGTTGCCCTTACAAAATCAAGCGGACACCAGACTGATATGGGATTACACAAATATGGACACAACTCGTCTTACAAATCTTTTAATGGACACTGACTGGGATCGTTTACTTGACAGTGACGTAGACACAGCGACAACAAATTTTACGAAAACAATATACGACGCAGCTGTTGCCTCAATACCGACTAAACGCGTGAAAATACAGTCCAACAAAAAATCATGGGTCACTTCTGAGTTGAAGAGGAATATAAGGAAACGGGATAGACTATTCAAGAAAGCCAAGAACACAAATCTGGACTACCACTGGGACAG